GGTGCCAGCGCCCAGGCCGCCCCGGCGCTGCCCGCGGGCCGCCGGGCTCCGCTCGGGGCCGCCGGGTCCCGCAATGGGCAGGTTGGGGAGGACAGTGATGAGGGGCAGCGGGGCGCGCGCCCCTGCTGCACTCGTGTCCTGAACGCGGCTGCCGCTCGCGGCTATGAAGTTACTGGGGTTTGGGGGCATGGGGACGGAAGGGAAGCGCCGCCGAGGCCTTGGTGCTGGCGTGTCCAGAGCTTCAGCTGCCCGCCCGCCAAGTCGCGGTGCTGCCGTGTCCCGGAGCAGCGCTCTTGGCTCGTCCGCGTTAGCGGGAACGCAAAACGTAAACACGGACACTGTATACTGTAAAGAAGGGGTGAGGGACGCGGGCAGGGTGGGCCTAGGGGCGGCTCTGCCCCTGCCCAGCCCCGGGGAGCTGCGTGGGGGACAAAGCCGCGCTCCCCTGGGCCGGCCCGTGTGGGGCCTCCCCAGCGCTTCGTTCGCGCCAGCAAGCGCCGTCCTTGACGTAAGGACGTGGCCGAGGCTGCTCCAAGCAGACCTCGCTCTGCAGTTAGGTATTTTCTAAAGGAACAAACCTCCGCAAAGTCCCGTCGAAGGCTGGGAATTACAGGTGTAAAACTACCCCAGCACAGCGCGACACAAGGCAATAGCAAGTCCCCTTTTCAACCACGGCCTGCGGTGCTGAGGAGCAGCACGCCGGTGCTGGCGAGAACACGTTGACGCGGTTCCCTCTCTGCATTTCCATGGAAGCAACACGTGCTTCCCTCGCCGCATGCGGCTCTTCCTCACGTTCGAGGGACGCCAGGCGCACGTGCTGATGTGCAGCCCTCACCGTGACGGTGGCACAGGCGTTCTGCACCACCAAACAGCATTTGTTCCTGTTTTCCTGGGCATTCCTGCTCCTGGGCTGCTCGGGCATGCACAAGGGAGCCTGCGACCACGTGCAAATACATATCGGAATTAACAGATCAATTCTGTATAAGCCGTTTTCACTGCCTCTTTGGTGGGTGCGTGTGGGAGGACAACACCAGGCCTCCTTCGCGGAGACGGCTTTCCCTTCCCTTTGGAGGATGGTGATTTTGACTGCCTCCCTGGCACACCAAGAGCACTTTTAATAGCCGAGCATTCCAGCTTGTCCCCAAAGTGCCCAAACCGATAAGTCCAGGGGCTACTAACAAACTGTGAACCAGCTGCCTTTCACATGGCAGCATCACGGGCTGCCTGCTCAACTATCCTACATAACCTAAGATTGGCTCTGGCTGTTCCTACTTCTCTAGTAAGAAGAATTTCTTTATTGCAATCTTTATTGAAAAATAGAGGGTTTTGCTCTTTTTTTTCCCCTATCATTATGACAGAGTAAAGCACAAGTCCGTAGTCTTTATTTGTCCAGTTTCTCAATTGTATATTTACACAAAATTAAGGTTATTTTTCTTCTTCCCAGCATGATGTAGCTTTTCTTTTGCCCGGAGTGATATCAGGTTTATTTAGACAGGATAGTTTTCCATGCCATAGTCCTTGCTCCTTATCGGCAATCTTCCTTGCTGTTTTTAGAGTTTCTAGAATATTTTAGTTTTAGATTTTTAATTTTTTTTTCCAAATGAAAATAGGATATTCTTTCTTCCTTTGGAATGCAATGATACATAGGCAGTCCTGTGTAATAGCAATATTATTATTCTAATTCCATCATTTCAAGTAAGTGAACAAGGTTTTATTTACAGATAAGAAAATGGAATAAGAATGACTTTATGGAGCTTGAGTTTTTATCCATATTATTCTCTTTTAAGAACACACAGTTTGAAAGCTATTTATGTCCATGCACACTCCAGATTAAGTGACATGAAAATGCCTGAGTTTCAATGTGG